CTGAGAGGGGGCAGCTAGAGAGTAGAACCCGGTAAATCCCAGGAAAGCTCATACCTGGTTCTTGGTGACAGTGTTAGGAAAGGGCAGGCTAGCTTTAATCTTCCTTTCTTGGACCCCATCCAAAAATGCACCCCAGTGTTGGGCACCGGGGAGCCCCTAATGGTGCTTGGTGGGTATGACCATGAATCCAGTCTGGCTGATGGAGTCTTGCAGCCTAAGGAGTCAAACACGGGTTCACTGCCCAGCTCTCAGTTTGGATGATAATATTAGCTATTTAGGCTACTGCTTACTCTTAGTGAGGGAGAAGAATGATGTCCATAAGTCTCTGGAAGGTGGCAGAAACTATATTGACTCAAAAGGGGAGGATCCAGTACTACCAGGGCCCTCTGGTAGTCTTGGGATCAATGCCTTTTTCCACACATAGATAATCAGAAAATTTTCCCGATGATTATTTATATACATCATCATTTTTCTGACAGAAATAAATAGGAGTAAAGAGACAAAAGCCTAGCTTAGCCTAGTTCACATACACCAAAACATACACCAACAGCACAAAAGTCGGGGTGAGGGAGCTGAGCAAGGTAACTTTGTAATAACTATAGATTTTATATCGTCCTCTTGTGGTCTCTGAAAGTTATTATACTAGACGCCATTGAATGAATTGGACAGGATATGTATTAGGCATATAATTTAAATGTATCATTTAATACAATGTATAATGTATAATTTTAATGTCAGCTAATTTTAATACATCAATGCCTCAAAAAACATCAATAAAATAACTTGATATATACATTTTTTATTGCAACCCTACCACTGGGTTTGGGTCTTGGCACCCAGCCTGAGGGGATCCTGTCAGTAACCTTTGTTGACGTCTATGATATATACTGATCAGCTATAACATTTATGCCACTGAATGATGACATGAATAACATTGATTATCTTGTCACCATGACACCTATTAAGGTTGCCCTTATAAATTAGGCATGTGAGCAGTCAGTCCTTGAAGTTAATGTGGTGGAAGCAGGAAAAATGGGCAAGCGTAAAGATCTGACCAACTTTGACAAGAGCCATATTGTGATGGCTAGACTGGGTCAGAGCATCTCCAAAACGCCAGGTCTCAATATGCACAGTATGCAGTGGTCTAAGGAAGGCAAAGCAGTGAACTGGTGATGGGGTCATGGGTGCCCAAGGCTCATTGATGTGTGTGGAGTGTGATGTCATGCCCTGCTCGTGCTGATCCTCCTGTGTGCTCCCCTTGCTACCTTGTGTGGAATCCTCGTGCTACCAGCTGTTTCGAGTCATGTGGATTGTTGTTATGTCCTTAAGTCTGCGTTAGAGTTTGTTTCCCCAGTCCAGTCATTAACATCTTAATGTCAGTCCTGTGTGTTGCTCAGTGTTCCTAATTGTATTCTTCGAATAAATCCCTTGTTTAGTTGACCCCACGGCTTCTGTGACGAGTGAAGCCAAGCCCGTCTGGTGTGATCCCACAGGAGACCTACTGTAGCAGAAATTGCTGGTAAAATTAACACTGGCTATGATAGAATGATGTCAGAACACATGAGCATCACGACTGGACCATGGAGCAATGGTCTGATGAGTTATGTTTTCTGTTACATCATGTAGACAGCTGGGTGGAAGTGTGTCCGTTACCTGGGGAAAAGATGGCACCAGGATATACTATGGGAAGAAGGCGAGTTGATGGAGGTAGGGTGATGCTCTCGCTGGGCAATGTTCTGCTGGACAACCTTGGGTTCTGGCTTTCATGTTGATGTCACTTTAACACATACCACCTACCTAAACCCTGCTGCAGACCAATACATCCCTTCATGGCAAAGGTATTACCAATGGCCTCTTTCAGCAGGATAATGTACTCTGCCACACTGCAAAAATTCGAGAATGGCTTGACCAACATGAAAAAGG